GCCTGCCCGCCCGGCCCGGCCCGGCCCTCGTAATCCTGGAGGGCCTTCGTGGCGGAGACGAGACGTGAGGTGAGGTCAGGAAGGGCAGAGACAAGTCAGCCTTGGGCTGGAACTGCAGCGGGGAAGAAGCAACCGCGGTTGAAGCCACGTTGGGTCCGTGAAGCGCAGGTAAGAAAAACAAGTCGTATTGAAGTGTTCGGTTGCTGGATGTGAGCGAGGGTGCTGCTGGCTTGCCGGGAGCTGCTGCCCGCTTCCCAGCCCTGGCCTCCAGCCTCTCCCTCCCTGCTGCAGCGATACTCCATCACCCGCACTGGAGAGCCTTCACCCTCCAGTTGCTCTGGATGGCTGATTCCTACAGTAATTATCTTGCCTAAATTACCTCACCAAGCAGCCAAAAGCAAGCTGTAAGGGGTTTACTGCACCTCTGTCCCACTGGAACCTAACTTGAAGTCATAACCTTGCGGAATGGTGATACTCCCGACTTCCTTGGAGCAGATATATTTTCCAGGACATGCAAATCAAGAACATCACCTCTTCCACTTCCAGGTGACTGCACTAGGAACAAGAAAAACGAAGCAAAGTCTTACTTCATGGTCAGCATCAGTAATCAAGCTTGTAATTTGTTCTTTCTCACATATGAACAGTGTTCAGTCTCCTTATTCCCTCCCCACTTTATGCAGTGAGTTGTTTTACAAAATGTAAATAAAGCTATTAAATAACTAGAGTCCAATAAAAATAAAAATCACTTTTTGAAAATAACCACCACAACCACTCAATTGCACTAGTATCTCTCACTCCTGAAGTGATTTTGTTTGAGAAATACATCTAAAAATTACTATTTCCTTAAATTCCAAGGATTTTGAATGGGAAATGATGAAAATTAGTTCCCTGCAGTTAAAGCATGCCCTTTAAATACTAGACAAAATTTAGTAACTATTCTAGACATGCAGCCTAAGTATGGCAAAGTTTCCCTTCAGTACAGAATTAAGCAGCTAAAAAAACCCTCCACACTCCAAATCACACCACCTTCCCCTTTAGGACAGCACAGTATCAAGGTCTATCTGCCTACATCTAAGATTATCTACTTCTCTAAATTTCAAGATTTCAAGATATTTTGCATATTCTCTCCAAATTACACCAATGAACTCTTTATTCCCATGAACTCTGATTCCCTGTAGAGCATAAGTACATCAAGGAGCTTTAGGAATCAGTTCTTAATGATGTAAAAACCATCTTACTCAAGAATCAACTAGGTGGCTCTCCCAAATGAGTAACTGACAATAAACCATTAGGCTATGGTTTATAAACTGACAATCCCATAAGCTATGGGACAGACCTACTCTTCTCATTCCACACAAAGCATGGAGCAATTTAATATTACTGCAGAAATGATGACAGGGGCTATAAGATCATCCCTCAGAGAGGCAGCCTGTGGAGAGAAGTCTCAAAGGAAAGGTACAACTGATCATCATTTGGAAGCTTTTTGTCATAAAAGGAGTACTAATGGATAATACTAGTGTCAGCACTCTCATCTTTCTCAAGGCACACTTCTATTTGTTCTCAAATGAAAAAGGTGCCACCACATAATAATAGCCAAATACCATTATTTTACCAATTCAAACAGCTTACATTCCTAAAAGCACTGACTGAGGAAACCTTGTACAAGCTGACATTCAGGACATCTGACAAACGTACTAACTTCGCCTTGCCACCCATGTACAATGTTGGTCCATAACAACATGAAGTAAAACCAACACCACTTCTGAACCACACACTTCAGTACCCTGTGTGGTAATGGTTGTCTGTCCCCATACACAGTAGGGGAAAGTGGGGGGAACAAACCCCTCAATGTTTATATCAGTTACCAGGTATCTGAAGGGCAACACTTTCCTTACTCAGAACACAATAGTTTCTGTACAATGACAGAAGAGTTAGTACATTTGAGTTATCAAACTGCAGGAAAAGATGGAAGATACTGTTTTTCACTTCCCTCCACCACCTGCAATACAAGTAAAATTCTATGGATGGAAGTTATTTAAAAAAACCCACAATAACAAAAAAAAAACCCAAAACAAACCACAACAAAGCACACCCCCCAGCCTTAAAACATGTTTTTGTTTGTCCCATTGCTACTATCTTGGGAGTTAGCATCATTTACTTGAAACTTGCTTTGGTTTCAACTACCCTTTACAGGACATTCTTTGTTAATCAATTTTTTCTAGTAGAGGAGGCAAACAAGCTACTGAAGTTTGTGCTAACCATTTTCTGACATACATAGCTGCCTTTTTTTCATACATAAAACTACTTTAAGTAGTATACAACATTAAAAAACCTGAATGAATGTGTATACATATTCTAAATGGAAGATACAACATCATCAAGTCTTGAGTTTCAGTTCCAAGTTGTTAATTTTCTCTAAAAGAAGAATCAGAGCACGGATTGGTTTTCAGAGTAAAATACTCAAAAAGTAATCTGGACTAAATCTTAATGAACCATTTGGACACAGCTTTTATTTCTGACATCAGGAAATAAAACCTCATTTATGGCATGCTTCAGAAATTCTTGCTTACCTAATTATAACATGAAACATCAGAAGACAGCTCAATGAGCTTACACACTACTTGGTGAACACTGACTCATGCTTTGTGTTTTCTTCATTAGTTATGGCTGGCTAACATGTAACCTGTCACACTGTTCCCAAACGTGCTTAGCCTTATGTACAAGCAGTGATCCAGCTATTGCTCCCAGTTGATTAACAGTTTAACAATCAGACTGCTTTAAAAAAAATAACATCTGAAAACAGTAACAGCTGCAGAACAGATTACTTCTGCTGAATGTACACTTACTTATCCTGTTTCTTTTGCAGTAAATTTTGTTACTGTATAACCTGAACTCTATACATTTAATAAATGTATTGATACATATACCCGCACAGAGTAATATTCATTCAAGCATCTAGTTCTGCACCTGTAAAAGCTGTGATGCATAAATTAAGTGCTCTATTCATTACTGCACCTTTAGAGTTGTCTTGCAAGTTGGAAAATACTTCAGCACAATTTGACAGGTGTAATTACATGTTCTCATTTTGCTTTATAAGTCCTGTTGGTTTTTATTGATGGCGATAAAGGCATTTAGTTTTCAGTAAGTTATTACTTCCATTATTTCTAACAAGATTTCAAAGCTGAAAAAGCGCAATTTGTAGGGCCACAAAAATAAACCAAGTAACAGCAAACAAGTTCTTGAGACACAATTACAAAGAGAGTCAAGAACTGAGATGCTCAGATAGATCACAGTTCACACCTGAAAGGGAAAACTACTTCTGCCTCTTTGTAAAAGTACATGATCTTTCACACCAGATGAAACAGTTTTTGGAAGTGACTTAATATTTAGACAACATTGCAAAGTGAAATAATTATCCTGTCTGTCCACTCAAAATCTAACTTTTTTAAAAGGTCTAACAGGAGTTCTTCATGTACGTGGAAAATTCTGTTCCTCAACAATGATGATATTGAAATCTCAGCTTTATTCAGATAAACAGGAGACACACAGACACCTTCCCCCAAAACAGTGGCCTTCAAATTTTATTCTTTAGCCTTTTTCAAGCT